AAAAAAAACAAAAGTCTTTTTCTTGACCCCAAAAAAAAAGGTTCCGAAATTGCATGTGGCTTGGAAAAAGACATTCGGAGGATGAAGCCCTTCCTTCAGCTCGAAGCCTCATTCCCTTCGTTCTCCGCCTTCGAAGCCTTCGAAGCTTTGATTCAGGCTCATTTCGAACTTGCTTTCTTTCCCTTTTTTCGTTTTAAGCCCTTAAAAGCGTTTTCGGTTGGCTGCATTTTGCAGGCAAGCCTTTGCCCAGAAACGCCTTCGGCTTCGAGCCTTCGAACCCCGCTTCCCTTCGTCCTCCGCCTCGTGCTTTGAAGAAGCTTTAAGTCAGGCTTATTTCTTACTTCTTCCTTCTTTTCGTTCTAAGCCCCCAAAAACGTTTTTGTGTGGCTCTTCGTCTTCCGCCTTCGAAGCCTTCGAAGAAGCTTTAAGTCAAGCTCATTTCTTGCTTTGTTTCTTTTTTTTTCGTTTTTAAGTTTCCAAAAAAACATTTTCGTGTGGCTGTCTGCTTTTGCACGGACAAGCCTTTATCTAGAAAGACGTTAGGGACTTTTGTCTTTGTTTTTTCGTTTTCAAGCAAAAATTTTTCGTGTGGCTTTCTCTTTCACTTTTGTTTGCCTGCTTTATTCTTGTTTCGCTTCTTAAGCCAAAAAACTCGTCCAGGTTTCTTCCAAAGGTCAGGTTCAGTTTTTGTTTTTCGTTTTTAAGCCCCCAAAAGCGCTTTCGTGTGGCTTTCTCATTTTGTGTGTGGGAGAGTTGGGGGGGCGCAGCCCCTCCTATTGCGTGTTCGGCTACGTTCCAGTTGTCGCCTTTGCCTTCGACCTTCGAAGGTTTGGAAGGCTTTGAAACCCTCTTCGCCGAAGGGTCGGATGCAGCCCACAAATGACGAATCATGAAACACCACGAACTAGAACAAAATCCAGCAAGAGATTGTAAAAACAGTTGAAACTGAACACAATCTTTTTTTCAACCTCTTGCAACATTTGAGTGGTCTTTTTCTCGGCCTTCAAACATCTTACAACCCAAGTTTTTTTGGACTGATGCCTTTGCTAGAGATGCACACACATAAAATGATGATCACTGGTGCAACTGAACAGGCATTAAGTGAGCCAGATTGACCCTGCGCGTAAGCTGGATGTTGTTGGTGTGGCTTCTCCGTGTTTCAGATTGCCAGTCCGATTGAAACCCAGAGTTGTTTTTGGAGACTGTAGACATTCCAGTGAGTTCCCTTGAGAAGGAAGAAGTTTTTGGTTTTCGGTTTTCAGTTCTTTGGGCTTACCGTTATTTCCAGGCTTCTGATCTGCGGCGTCGCGGTGTTAAACAGCAAGAGCACTTTTTTCGACAGCTACTTGTCACAAGATGCGAAACCACCCTTTACAGGTTCTACAGGCGCTCAGCAAGGAAACAGAACATGGAGACATCTTGAGCAGCATCCACGAGGCTTCGATGCGGTACCCATGAACACAGAAAAGAGAGCAACAGAACCCACTGAAAGACGAGCTTGTAGTGAAGGCTCTGGCCCGCAGAGCCGTCATGCAGATTTTTGCTACATTTTGTGACTTTATTTTAGTTTGCTCTGCACATGTATGTGCAAGGATTCTAGATTCTGTTGGGCGCAATTGCAACGGTTCCAGTGTTTGCATGGCAGCCACAAGTTCACCGGACATCGTGGTCGAAGCGAGACGAACATGTCGGCTCCCACCTGCCAGCTCCACCACCTCGCAACAGTTGAGGCATAGACAGCCTTTCAAGTCTTGCCGATGAGGAATCCCAAACCAAGCTCGATTTTCCGGCAATCTTTGAGCGAAAAGACCTAAGCACCTCCACACACATCATGGTTCAAAAGTCAGTAGTGTCAGTGGTGAAAGGCACGCTCATAAGTTTTTCGCGCACACGCTAAATGGAAACCAGTCAGACACGCAAGGAATCATTCAATCCTTCTCAAGACTGTTGAGCTGTACAAACAGAGCCAACGAAGCTGCTGAAACATGAGAAACTCCACACAGTAAGCATCAGAGCCCTGTGAAGCCTTTGTGAACTATACAACCTTTAATTCGTTGTGAGTCACGAGGGTCAGGTTTAACGTTGAGTGGGCCGAATATTCCAGTTTAGAATGTCGCTTTCTGGGCGTTCGGAATTCGAACTTTTTGGTGCGCGAGCTACAAGCGTTTTCGGGTTAGTTACGGACTACGATGTCGTAGATTGCCGGTCCTATCGTTGTCCACATGGGGCAAAACCTTCCTTTCACAGGGACAAACGCGACGCTGGGTGTGCCTTTTTGCAACAACGGCCCTGGGTGTGTCCAAATCAGCGCCGAACTAGAGTTCTACGTTAGGATGATGTGGGTGCGTCTCGTCGCATGCGCTGTGTTTCTCATTAGCATGACACATGTCGCAGCGCGGCTCAAAATATGAATTCATGTTGCTGCAATTCCACACTTGTGTGACTCGCTGCCTGTTTCCCGAGCCTTGCAGGCGCGCATTGTGGAGACACATGTGAACTAGCTGGCAGATCCGAAATTGTTTCTTGCGCCACGGTAGGAATAGATTGTGGGCAGCCCTTCAGTTATCTTGCGAGGTTTGGTGCGAGGAGCTCCCCTGCTGTTCGGCCGGCATCCTTTTTCCGTTGAGCATCTGAAGGCCAAGTTCGTTCAGACGCTGTTGGCTGTGTTTCAATGCAGAGGTTACGCTCGTGGTCGCTGTACTGCATACAAGTTGACTGCACACAGTGCATAGACGTGATGCTCTCATGGCACAGATGAAAGCGCTGGACAAGTTAGCAGCACTTGCGGTAATAGCGGCTTGACCGCACCTCTGTGATGGGAAACTTCGCGGGTAGCATACTTTCTTTAGGTTCAAAGCATTCGGGCAGCCGAGGTCGCCACAGCAGATGCAGCTCCGTACACCGAAGAGAACTCTAGATGGAATGTGAACTTCGAGCGGCAACACGTGCCCTCTGCAGATATCGTGGTGCATTTCAAGTTTGCAGTACTCCTCCGCCCGAATGTTGCAGGTACCAGAGAGGTACCACGGAAAATGGGAAGGTCCAGGTCTCGGATGAAGTCAATGGCTAGGGAGGTGGCACGACTTCTGGGTCTTGGGGCGATCTTGAGCCTTCCACACAAAAGCCGTGAATGGAGGCTTAAGGGCTCCATGAAGCTGAAGGCACTCCGTAATCATCGTAGCAGTCGTAGCAGGACGTGAAGGCCACAGAGCAACAGAGACGTCTGAGACCACAGTAGAGCAGCGTCTCCCGTCCAAGCGGTGGCAATGGCCGTAGCGCTGCGACCGCCCGCAACTCCGGGCCTGCGGCGCACAGTCACCGACGCCGACGAGAAGGGGGCTGCATCCATCTTGCTCAACAGAAGCGTGCCCATGCCTCAGGAGGGTTTGATTGTCCGATGCAGCATCACCTGTTTCGGAGGGATTCTGTAGATGGCTCCGGAAGATTTTTGCGTTTTGCTCGATTCTGGCTCCATGCAAGGTCTGTGCCTTCTGGCCATCGACCATGCCGCAGGTGTGTCATAGAGTCATACAGGTTCACGCGTCGGAATCTCTTTGTGAATCCTTGCCGCACAGGCCGCGAGTTCCTCCACTCCTTGCAGAAGTGCCATGGCCGGTTGTGCCTGGCACGCTGCCTTGCCCATGGAAGCTGCGAGGCTGTTGACTGCTGCTGGGTTTTTCGTGGTGGGCCTTTTACCTTTCATGTCACTGCCGCAAGCAACAACTCCTGCCGCGGTGAGCCTATTGAGGGTCCGAGCATATTCGGTGTAGCGCTTACATAAGCTGCGACAGGCGAAGTGGCCGTCACCTCACAAGAGGTACGCTTACGTCGCCTGGCTTCTCCTCCAGTGGGTCGGTATCAGAGTGCGGCTTTGCAATCCTCCCTACGTCCTTGATGTCGAAGCGAAGTGCCTCAAGGCTTGAGCCTATCTGAATTGACGCGTCTTCAGTTCCTTTGCCATCGCTGCAAGTTCGCGTCGCAGCTCGTGGGGCATCTCTGGTTGCAGTCAGACAGGCGCAAAAAGGTCCACCTCCCTCTCAACCCCATCGAGTCAGTGGGCGCATGTCACGCCGGCCGTTCTCAGGTTCTCCACTGAGGCTCGGCTGGCCGGGGTTCGGAACTCAGCGTCGAGGCACCATACCAGGTTTTGCGAGGCCTCGTAGCAACCCCACTCTCGGCAGTCCCTGTGACGTCCCGGCTGCAGGTCGACTTGCGAAGCCCAGCGGGTTCCATTTCCGTGTCTGACGAGGTGCCTGCAACCAGGATCCTCGACTGTTGTTCGGGATGCTTTCTGATCCTCATCCATTTCCTTGAATCGTGCTGTAAGGCTTTTCTATGCACTTCCTGAACATGGGACTCTGTCCAGCTGTGTCAGCGAGATGAACTGGCATGCAAGACTGACCGTCACCCACGGAGTGGCCACAGCCCTCTGGATACTACACTCAATGGGCGACTCGTATGCGCACCTGTCAGAGGAGTCCATAGGAGTTAGCTCCGCCGGAAGAGCGGAGCTGATGGGGATGGGATTGTCTTCGCTGCACAGGGGCACGCAGCACAGCGACCAACTACGAGACCTGGATCAGTTTGGACACGTCCTCGACTTCGTTTTAGCGGCGCGCGGAACGGACTGGCCGCAAGAGGTGGCAGAGCTTTTGAGGGACCTGGCGTCTCAGTGCCGTGCGTCAAGTGCTCCAGGTCTTCTGCAAGACATGGTGACAAAGCTGGCACACGTTTTGATCGAGTATGCTCCAGCGCAGCCGGAGCAACAAGCGAGGCAGACGCAGCGACGGTGGGCCCTGCTGCGAAATCTTTTCAGAGCCTGTTGGGCTTTCCGGGGCTCTCTGGAGGCACTGTGCTGCGTGTGCCTGGAGCCTTCAGAGAAAGGCAAAGGGCTACTCTGCCCGAGGAATCACAAGAATCCCCTGCTTTGTCTGGATTGCCTCGAGCCCTATGTATGCAGCCTGATTGGTACATCGGAGCTTCGACGCCAGGGAGGACCAGAATTCTGTCAGGGAGTTTCTCCCGGCTTGAACGCCCGTGTCCATGCATGCTGACATGCTGCATTGTGCCAGCCGCTAGCCCCTACTGCAGGAGGCATCAGCTGCCCTGCCTGCATGGTGACCGGTGAACCGTATGTGTTCGCACAGATGCAGGCTCAAAACTCGCAGTTTTGACTCGATGGAGGGCATGTCCATGCCTAGAGAGTTTCGGGAAATAGAAGGCCTGATGCGCACCCAGCTTCATTGTTTAATTCTGCCCAAACTCCGCACTCTGACACGATTCTCTTTCCGTCGCGATTGTCTTCCCGCGCTGGCCAGTTGTTCTGGCCCTGCTGCTACCTAGCATGTGCTGATCTGGCCCCAAAGCGCAACATGTTCTGTAGCCTGTTTGCCCCATGGTTTATACAGAACTGGAAGCAAGACCCTCGTTAGCGGCTTCCGTAGAGCAGGTTCAGCAGAAACTCGGCGGGACGACATTGCGTCGGTTCATCGAAGCCACGGACCCACAGCCTTTGGAAGCTTTACAGGCCTTCCCGCACAAGATCACTCTTGACCGTCTGAGCAGTGTGCTGCATGTGTGTTGCTGCAATGGCAGAATGTGCTTTGAGGAAGACGACGACCTTGAAGCGGAAATGCAAGTGCTGGTACAGGACATGGAGGGAAGGCGGGGGGTGACAGGGCACGCTTGGACAGTCTCAGGTATGCTCGCCTGCTAAGGTCGGTCCGTATTGTGAGCCATTACCGAGCCTCTGAGCACGATGAGCCTCGAGAAGCTCACAGCGTCAAGGACGTGCTGCCCTTCACATGGCTACAATGTGGGGATGGGGAGATGTTTTTTCAGTACGACCCGACGCAGATGCTATGATGCAAATTTCCTTGAAAGGGACAGAATGTTTGTAGCTTCACTCTTGGCTACATCCGCCTGCGGCCGAGGATGACCCTAAGGCAGCACCTCAGCCCAAGGCTTTTCGCCATGGAGGCCCCTCCCAGCGTCCGCCCCTGGCCTTGCCAGTGCTATCTGCTGCGCAGGTCGCAAGCTGCCTGAACCTGGAATGCCCGAATCCTGAGTGCAGAGCACTCTTGGATCCAGATCCAGATGGCTGCGTCGCCATGAGCTGCCTCGCCTGCGAGGAAGGAGAGGCTGTCGCCTGCTGCCCTTTGCTTTCACGTTGAGAGCCTGTGGCATCTCGACCTTGTATGGAGGATTCTGCTGGGTCTGCTTTGAGCGTTGCGGTTTCGGTGGCGATGCACATCCGCATGCCAGCGCCCATGTTTTCATGATGCTTGCAAGCTGCGAGTCCTTGGCCTCGCTAAGCTCTTCCGAGGTCATGGAGATTCACGGCGACTACTTTCCCACCAAACCATTCACCCAGGCTCCCGTTCCACCCGTCGCACAGCTGTCCCACACCCGGATTAGTTCCATGGTCTTTCTGTTGGAGCACGATTACTGTGGGCAGGCCTGGCATCGGAAGCATCGCTGGAGGCGTGTTCACAGGATCCTCCGTGACTTGCTGGAGGACTTCAATCAAAAATGAAATTGGGAGCTGAAGAGGAGATGGTAGGGTTTGCAGCCAGGAGACGCAAGAGGATGCCCTGCAGAGCAGCGCGCAGCTGCTTAAAGACGTGGAGCTCTGGCAGCTCGGCTGCGTTGGATCGAGTGGTGCTTGAAAGGACGCATGATTGGCTCAATCTCGTGGTCCGTAGGGGGCAGATTTAAAACAATCACGGTCGCAGTGCAGCTTGTTGTTTGCATTCAACATCACTGGGGGAGGCAAGTCTGCAAACGTCTGGAACTTTGTGCTCGTCTTTTTCCGCACGAGTCAAAGGTCTCATTTTTTTTCAACTGTCGAGGCCCTTTCCGTGCACCGAGCCTGATCCGCCGCAGCGGGAACGGGAGGAAGGGGCACCGGCTCCAGACGGCAATGAGGCTTACTGGCCCTGGCCTGCAGCGGAGGTCATCCTGCCGCGTCCATGTCGAATGTGCTACTGGTGCTTGTCTGTGATCGCCTATATCATGCTTGCAGTTGTCCGTCCGCTTTTATGAAGTGTTGCAGGCTGGCCTTCATGCAGCAGCACGCTTCGGGCAAGTGGACTTGCTGCTGCAGGTCGGCCGCTGCAATCAGCCGCAAGTTGCGGTGGCTGGGCTGTCAATGCGAGGCTCTGGAAGCGGAAGATGTCGACGTGAATGCAAGAAATGATCGGGGCATGACAGCCCTGTGCTTCGCAGCGCACGAGGGACGGGCCGAGGCGCCGGGAGAAAGAGCAGTTCGGATTTCTGGGCCATTGCCGGTTCCTGATGAGGCCATTCGGCTGTTGATGGGGAGGGCAGCGGATCCCAACATCGCAGACGAGCACGGCGTGACACCTCTGTGACACGGCACCAGCTCCATAAGGAACAGCGCTGGATCCATGATGCATCTACATAGTCTAAAATATTAACACGCTGTACCTGGAGCATTGTCTTTGCTTGTTTCTCTTGCCGATTTTGCATGTTTCCTTTTCTCGATAAACGTAAATTCGTGCTGTTTCCTTGGGAAGCTTTCTTCCTATCCCGGCATACCAGGCATGAAAGTGATTCACACATGATGCTGTGTCGTGCCCTCCTCGCCTTCATGTGCTGTAGCATTGAGCAAGGTCGAACCAGTGCCAAAGCCTAATCTGAAGCTGACAGACACCGGAGGCAAACCTAAGCCACGTGCTCGTCTGGGCCTGTGCGTCCACCAACAACCAAGCTAAGTCAATCCCAAACGACGCCCGAACCACACCAACTTCAGGCCTAAATCGGTTTACGAACAAGCTTGACAACTTGTGGATGTCCTTTCAACCATATACTGGTGTGTGATATTTGTCCGCAATGTTGTCATGCTAATGACTAGTTAAACGGTTTACTTTCGGAGTATTGGAAGGTGGCCACAGCAACATCAACAACAACAACAACATGCGTAGACTGCTGCAGGACGTCTTGCACATTACTCTGCAGTGTGGAGATAAGGCACTATGCTTGCAGAGAGCCTCCGTTCCACATCGAGGACGACATCGCAGGCCCCGTCTCATTGCAAGAGGAGCATGGCTTGGCACGTCTGAGACCCGCGACTTTGTACGCTGTCCTGAGGTCTTCTTCTGAGCTACGAGAACGTGGATGCGAACCAGCGGGATCTGTCCGGTGCGACGGCCATCATGGTGGCAGCGGAAGTTGGTCGAGCAGAGGTCATTCCTAGCTTGCTTCAGTGCCCGGGTTTACACTTCTTTGGCAGATTATACTCGCAGCAGATCTGTCATGTTGGATCCGTGAGTCAGATGCCATGACGCAGAGGTGCGACCGTGTGGAGCCCAACGTTACCAACATAGCTGGTAACTCGGCGCTGTTTCTGGCGATCATCTTCAATCACCTCGATGTCGTGTTGGCGCTCCTCGCATCTCACAGGACTGTACTTCTTCCCAACTGGGGCTGCCATGATCTCCACAGTCACATCTTACTCATCTGCAAGTGCAGACGGTGCAGTCTTAAAGCCCTGGCAGCACACGGCCAGGGTCGCGGTGGATCTGCGGAGTCCGAATGAGGAGACGGTGCTGCACCTGGCGGCGCGGCGGGGCAGCCGTGAAGTGACCCAGCGGTTGCTGGCCCACCCAGCAGTTGATCCCTGGCTGAAGAACTTGCATTCGAGGAGCATCTGGAAAGGCTCTTCTCTGCCCCAGTATTCCTAGAAACCATTCTCAGATTTCGAATTATCGAATGTCGTGCCTAAGAGCTGCGTCTTGAATCGGCAGCTGGAAGCTTCACCTGTTCTCGGTTTGAGGACGTCAATGCCTTGTCTGCAACGAGCCGCAGTGCACTGTGGCTCGGCTTTGACAGAGAGTCCGACGGCTGAGCTGATCTGATCTGCGATGAGGATGGAAGCTGCAAGTGCTGGGGCTGATGAGGCCTCGGCCTCGTTGCGTTCCCTGTAATGTAGATGTCAGAAGCATCGGGCAAAGCCAGCATGCAACCTTGCAGGATTGGATACCTTGCAGCATTGGATCTCATGCGGATTCAGACTTGTTCAGAAAGATTTGCTGCAGATCGTGCTCCTGCCATAGTTTCTTGCACATTTGAGGGACGATCCTCGACAGTTGACCGGTTTCGTAGCCTGAGTTCATGGAGTTGACCCACGAACATCGCGGATGTTAGATGGGCAGTGGTTTGCAGGTGGTGGGCTGCATCCTCGCGAAGGAAGGCATCGTAACAGCAACTTGGCTCCGTGATGAAAACCAGCTTGCAATGTGCCGCAGGGGGAATCTGTAGCCCCGAGCACCAAAGGATCTTCTTGACTCTCGTGGCTTCTCCAGCCTGATGCTGGCTGCACAGAGTGGCTCTCCCGAGACGTCTCTTGGACTTGGCTTTGGCATCTGCAGTGGCTTCTTCTTCCCACTGCCCACAGAGGTTTGAGAAACTGCTGCCCGTGTCCGTGAGCGTGATCAACGCTCGCAATGACGAGGGCAAAACTGCCGGTGTCTCAGTCTCCTGTGTGCAGAAGCTGCCGATCCAGAGACCCGCGAATCTGGAGGTGCTGATGATGCTGGCTGAGCGGGGTGGGCAGCTTGAGAGCCTCCAGAAAGTCCTGCACAGTGTCGGCAGAGTCTCTTCACCGCCATCTCGACTTTCTGAAAAGCGAGGTGCCCACTCGGAGAGCCCGGCACATCTCTGCCTCTGCACCCTGCTGGAATTCGCTTGCAGAAGTGACAGGACCTGAGAGTGGTATTCATCTTGAAGTTTTGAATTGCTGTTCAGTGTACATGTGAAGAAACAGGTGAACAACTTTCAATTTGGTATAATAGCTTCCGGGATGTCGAGTCTTCTAGCTTCCCGAGAGGGTTCTTGCAGGATCGCACTGGACATCAATGTGCAGTGCTGCAACGGCAGAGCCCTGAATGCAGCGTGCAGTGGCCTTCTTCCCTGTGGTGTGAGTTCCTGGACACTCCCAGCCAAGACTTGCCGAAGTGCATCGAGGAATCTAGACTCTAGACATCTCTAGACTCTGCGTTGCGCTAAGGAACGGCTTTAATGTGGGCCGTTGCCAGCGGCTGCCTTGCAAGCGTTGACTGCCTGATGGCCGGCTTCCCAGGAATGCTTTCTCTGCAGCCACATCAAAAAGGCTTTTGTGGGCTCGTACAGACTCGGACAAGTGTTGCCTGTCCCAGGCCTTGAAGCCGGACATGGCCTGCCAGGACGATCATATAGTATACTATGGTAAGAAATGATATAAGATAAGATAATGTACCATAGTGTAGTAGAATATAAACAAGTATTTTGTAAGGCATTATAACAGAAGAATAAATAACATCATATATTGAAGCATGATATACTATGGTATAGTACAACAGAATGCAATGTAATACCACATAGTACAATATAATACAATAATGTATACTATAGCATAATTCAACATGAAAAGTCGAACGTAATATAACGCAGCATAATATAACATAATATAACATAACAGAA